TTAACAAGTATATGTGGATTTTAGCAGGGCTTATATTTTTAAATCGAGACCCCAAATTTCAGCTTCAGCCGTTTTCAGCATCTGCTGCGACATTTATTGCATATATATTAATATTTTTTTTCTTAGCAAAACTAAGTTCACAAAGTGGAGTCACGTGAATTGGCGGGGATAAAACTCGTGGAATAAATTCGAAATACCACATGAGGCTTATCACTGCATAATTTGTTTGTAAACGGATCACAAACACAAATAAGGTTTATATATTTTTTTTCTGTTTGCGAATGGATATGCCACTTTTCGATATAATTTTGTTTATCTTTACGTATGAATATGTTATTCGGATTTTTTTTTCATTGTTATATATTATATATGCTTGTGTTTAGATTAATATAGTGGTCTATTTTTACTTTACTATATATTTATCCCGACTACTGCGTCACATTTTTATTATCTGATTTTTTCGCTTGATATGACAGACCGAATGAAGCAATAAATGTATCATACATCACTGGGTTGCTAAAATTTCTTGTTGAATATCATATAAATCAATAACGAAATTATTGGCGGTGATTGCGGGAGGGACTATTATAGTATACCCAATAGCATTTGGAGTTCCTGCAACAATTGGTGGATCCCAGAAAACGTCTAATACTGGGATATTGACTTGGTAGGCAGGAATGTTCGGACCTGTGCAACCTGTAGGGTTATTACTATTAAATTGTAGAGTACCGAAATCCCACTATAATATTGTGAAAAATACACATTAAGCCTTGAACATTAAATCACAAGAAATGCTGAATGTAGATCAATCTTACTTCTTGGACAGATACTCCTGTTAGTCCTGCTACTGGTGTACTCCCTGGTGGTGCTGGTGTTTGACGCGTCCATAGTCTGGCCTAATATTAAAAAAAAACTCTTAACGAAACTATGTAATAACAAAACGGGGTAGCTAGACATACATACCGTCATTGACCGATGAACTTGTCTATTTACAGCTCTTATGTTATGAAGTTTAATACCCAATACACAACGCACATATTGTTCATGCATCTAATTCGTGCATTTTTCATTCCAGAGAGTGACGCTTTGAGTTGAGGCTACTTCACAGAATATTCTCCCATGGGGGTTTCCCTATGTGAACATATAAAATTAAGAAAATATCCAAAGTAAAGATGATAATATAAATTCAATGTACTTTTACGTCACTGGGGGGAGGCCCGGGATGCTGAATAGTAGGTCTCGGGATATGTGCTACATTTGGATAGATTGTAACATCTGATGCTATTTTTTTTTTCCTGATAGTAGTTGGATCGTAATGAACTATAGGATTATTATTATAAGTCAAAGATCAAGCAGACTAAATAGAAATCATTTACATGGTTGGCCTGCAACCTTTATCGGAGGATTGCGTATTACACCGCCATTAGGGATAATAAAAATTTGAAAAAGTACTGATACAACAGCTTCATGTTCTGGGCTGGCCATATCAACGATGTAAACGTTCCCGCTATCCCAATGAAATTTGTATCCGCTTGATTCATTACGATCAAGAAAAGTATTATAGTTTTTCACTGAAACTTTCGACCCAATCTGAAAGGGCAAACTACCATACAAATCAATATTGAGCTCTTTAGGAAACCTGCGGGGCACACTCACTTTTCTTCTCCTAAGGAAAATTTTGGCAGTTTGGGATAGTTGTGGACTATGTTATCAACTTTGTTTCGAATTTTATTTACTTTCTTTACTGTTGATTTCCAACCATAGTTTGAAGAGCTTGAAGTAGACATTTTGAGAATGAAATAACTGATAATGATAATCAATCATTTTTATTCACAAAAAAAATGCCGGATCATGTGTTTTCGGCCAATCACTAATATTCTTTGTATTGCGAAGCAGGCTCTGCCAGGGGTGCCCTAATTTCCCCCACCACTTCTGATCGGATATATGAAAATGTTATCTCTGATTGGACAAAATAGATTACACAATTGTTCGTTGCTGGAGCTATTTGTACGAGTATACTTAGTCAAGCAAAAAATTTTGTTTCTACTACTGAAGCGATAGGGTCTCTGACTATGTATGTTGTGAGATCGAACATGCTCATAACTACCATTTGGTAGCTTAGTACTTTGGTGAAGGTAGTTGTTTGTTTCCAAAAAATACACAATCTAGTCACCCTTAATCATATAGTTTTTTCAGATGTAGTTATAGCCTTTCGAGGCAGGCCTAGGATCTGACTATTACCTTCCTGCAATTTATTTTTTCTATACTTATAAAAACCCAATTTTAGAGGATGTGATCATCAGTTATAATTGTCTTTGTAGCAAGGAGAGGAAGACCCGATGAGCTTTCCACAGTTTAGTCCACTGAGCTATGAGATAAGAAATAGCTTTGAATGTATCTATCTCAAAATTTGCATAAATATATAACCTATTGCTATATTATCATTTACTATCTAATCTGAAAATTTTATAATATGCTGAATGAATTGGGTAAGTAATACGTTTTTATTTTCTTGCACAAGATTATATTGTGTCGATAGATCAATCATCCAGGTTACTTGTTATGGGTATGTATAGTTATACAAAAAATTTCGCTTGAGTCTTTACCTCTTGACGATAGGGTCTCTGACTATGTGTGTTGTGTATTCGAAAGGACATAATCATCATTGCTGGTAGCTCAGTACTTTGACTTAGGTGGTTTATTCAGTCTACAAAATAATTATTAGATAATTTAGCTGGATCACATAAAATATAATTTAATCTTATTTCAGTCAGAGAATATTCCAAAAATGGATATTGTAGATCGCACCTTTTATGGTATAAAAGTGTCGATCAGAAGATTCCAGATTTCGTAGCACATAAGCATTAACCAATCAAATTAATCAAGAAGTTCAATATATGAAATAGATACAGTATACGAATGAGTAGCGAAGCTTTATTTTATACTAAATCTTTTAAATAATAATTATCTTTTGCTTTTAACTATCACTACCTTTCAAAAGTACATTATTGTATTTGGTTTATACTATCAAACAGCACTACCCATATACATTACAGCATTAGGGGTGTGGCGACTTAGTGAAGTGGTGAAGTTGTCGCACCCCCAAGCGGCAGGACAAGAGTTCGAATCTCACCGGCGACGAAATTCGAATTTAAGGAATGTGTTACGGCAGACTGTGTGTAATCTGATGGATTATCAGATCTGTAGCCTTGGTCACACCAGCTTGTACTGGAAGAATGCAGAACTATAGTGTGATGCAAAGGTTACATGAAACCCGAGTGAAACATTTATATAAATCTAAGGGCTGGGGCACACGGAATCCTGCTTGGCAAGTCCCGAGTAGAGAGGTAGCACAGATCTTTGACGGTACTACGTAAAGGATGATCATCGGTGATCGGACACCGGCAGTAAACCGAACAAGGACCGGGTGTTTGGCAAGACACTAATACTAACCAGGCCGCGAGTATACAGGGGTTGCCCTGTATAAATGAGGAAAAAGGATTCAATTGGAATACCAAGAGGACGCCCACTGGTCCCTCCTCAGGCTATCTGGATTGGGAGTTTGTGATACTGTTGGTAGAGGAAAGTCGGTGCTAGTCCGTAAAGTGTGTACTGGGGTTTGGGTGAACTTTGCAAGGGCAAGGAGTAGGTAACGGTAGCGGAGAGATACCGCAAATACTTGGTTCCGGCCTAGGCGTAAGTTACTGAAAATCTAGGTGATACATGTGTAGGACATGGACTACTCTAGTAGGTTTACCACGAGGATAAAGTAGTTCTAAGGGGCTTTAGGGCAGTTCCTCTTTAAGGAGAATATTCGACGGCGCCAAGTTGATCAGAGGGTTTAATTGGGTAACTCAAGTAATAGTGGTTATAGATACGGCATCTAGTGTAGTACTTAGTAATAGGGAACTACTTAATTAGACACTCAAAAGGCGTAGATATGGCTAGTATGTACCTTCGTTAATGTAACAAAGTCAGGGTGGTCCTGTGGCTGCCCTGACATTCGCAACCGAAGTTAATAAACGTGCCAGACCCCAAGTGATCACCTTAACATTAAAAAAAAAAAAAAAAATACATTACAGCATTATTGAACAATATCGCCTGATATTTATTTGTCACTTAAATCTATTTCTATACTTCGTCTTAATTGTTTTCTTTTATAAATAACTTTTAACACCTACATAGTTATAAATAAATTAAAATTTTAAAGTTACTATAGTGTAAATAAAGCTTTTAAGACGTTTTTAAATATATACAAAATTTAAAAATAATCTTATATTAACTGTTAACTAATAACAAGTTTTAATATTTTGTTAAAACGAATACCTTTTTTTTAGCTTCTCATTTACTTTGGCAAAAGAGGTTGATTGCCGCTAATTAATTTTGATTATTAAAACTAGACGTTTTGAACTATGTGTTCGAAGCTTACCAGATCTCAATAATTATCAAAAAATTTTTTTTCATAATATATGACGTTTGAATGATAAAAGACACGTGAAAGCTAATCAAATTCAAGAATCTACCTGTAGATCATTCTAGAATATGATTTTCTAATTTGGAATATCTCCTGACTGTATTTCTTAATTTTTTATATAGAATACAACTTGAATATAAGAAAGGTACAAGTGAAATTTTTCTTAGTATAGAATATACGAAGGCAGATATTGTTATCAAAATGGAATTGGGTTTGAAAAGCTGAATAAGATATTCGCTTATTATAAACAATCGGGTGAGTAACTTTTAGAAATAGATATTTAACAAATTTTATTTATTTAATGTAGAGAAAATAAAGCTGACCTACCTACCTATCTGCTATATATATTTTTTTTCAGTTGCCTATTTGATCAACTTTGCATTCAAACACATGCTTCGATTACATATTAAATTATGTCACATTATAATAGGCCTTAGGGGGTAATGTTATATGTTTTAAATCCACAAATCATTGTTTTTTTTTTTTTTTGTTATTAAGATGAGGTCTTGCTCATATTTTTATTAATAGTTTTTAATATAATAACTATGGTAAGTTATTAACCTTTAAATATATAGAATATAAAAAGTAAAAACTACATACAAAAATAAAAGCTCAGACTACTTTATCTGCGATCTAAACCTACTAGAGTGGTCAAAAACTCACCTAGATTGTGATAGTTAAAATGTAATTTGAGGATATACTATATTTAATCTATAATTTATTGTAAATATTAATTTTGCAAATAAATGGTGTAGTGACTTAGTGAAGTTGGCAAGTTGTTGCACCCCCAAGCAGCAGAACTAAAGTTCAAATTCCACCAGCAATGAAAATTCGAATTTATAAAAAATACATTTGGAAGACTGTATCCTATTGGGTTATAGAACCTGTAATGGTGGTCGTACCAGCTTGTACTGGGAGGTAGTGGA